AAAAAAAAAAAAAATAAAAAAAAAATAAAAAATTTTTTAAAATTAGCTGTTATGGTGGTGTGTGCCTGTAGTCCTAGCTACTAGGGAAGCTGAGATGGGAGGATTGTTCGAACTCTGGAGCTTGAAATTATTTTTCACAAACATAATTATTAAGAACCCAAAATCAACATCAAAATTATATTAGGCTGTTTTATAACAGATTTTCACTCTTTTTAGAAGTTAACCTACCATATATCATCTATACAAAACCTTCCTGGCATAAGGAAATTTCAGCTTGAACATAATAAAAGAGTGTTTTCTTTTGAGATGGAATCTCCCTCTGTCGCCGAGGCTGGAGTGCAATTGCGTAGTCTTGGCTCACTGCAACCTCTGCCTCCCGGGTTCAAGCAATTGTCCTGCCTTAGCTTCATGAGTAGCTGGGACTACAGGCGCATGTAGCATGCCTGTCTAATTTTTGTATTTTTAGTAGAGACAGGGTTTCACTATGTTGGCCAGGCTGGTCTCGAAATCTTGACATCGTGATCCACCCACCTTAGATACCCAAAGTACTGGGATTACAGGCAGAAGAGTGTTTCTTAATATACCAGAAACACCCCACCAAAACATCTTGTTATATTTTACTGCATCAACAATGTAAAAAGTGAGTGTCCAGAATACTGAGTGCTGCTGTTTACCATGCAAGCGCAACAAATGGTGCTATATACTCATATTTTAATATAATATTAAATACTCCAAATCCTTCATGATCTTGAATTCCTGTTATCCTATGTTGCGATCTTTTATATGCCCCTCCTTCAAAAACATAACCCCAAAAAATCCAAAAGCTACAAGAAGAATGCAATTCCTAACTAGATACCTGTGTGACTGTTGGGAGCAGCCATATCAGAAATAACCTCTGCACCACTCCCTAAATTCACTGAACTTTTTGGCACTGGCTCTCGGCCTGTCTTTCCCTCTAGCCTAAGTTCTGTACATCCTAGGTGATGTCTACTTTTTTGTGGGTAACACATTCAACAGCCTTTTATTTCCTTGCCTTTACTTATGAACGAATGAATGTATGTGAAGGAATCTAAAATTATTTGCTCAGTTAATCTGAACAGGTTCTGGGCACTCTTCTACCACAAGCTAAGAGCTAGTTTGTGGTTAGTGAGATTCATACAGAAAAATAACAGAAGACCCCATCTATGACTGCTCCTTATATAAGGCACTATTAGCTCTACTTACTGGTCTAGGTAGAGCCAGGTTTGCTCCGTACCAATGATAAAGTGCTCTCCACACAGGTTCTGGAACCATTTCATAATCTCTTCCATGAATCAGCTGTGGAGTTCGTTTTAAGCGTCCTCCTTCTAGTGTTAATGATGTAGCCTGAGAAAGAATAGAATGACAATGTTGACTTTCAATATTAGAAAGGTTTTTGCGTCTTAGCAATACCTAGATACAGGAAAACAAACTCATATATCACCACCCAGTTTCATGTTGCTGGAAAAACTTAGTTATGTAGTTTTGTTTTTTTTTTTTTTGAGATGGAGTTTTGCTCTGTCACCCAGGCTGGAGTGCAGTGGCATGGTCTCGGCTCACTGCAGCTTCTGCCTCCTGGGTTCCAGTGATTCTCCTGCCTCAGCCTCCCGAGTAGCTGTGATTACAGCTACGTGCCACCATGCCCAGCTAATTTTAGCATTTTTAGCAGAGACTGGGTTTCACCATGTTGGCTAGGCTGGTCCTGAACTCCTGACCTCAGGTGATTTGCCTGTCTTAGCCTCCCAAAGTGTTAGAATTACAGGCATTAGCCACTGCATCCAGCCAAAAAACCTAATTTTTAAAGATTTTTATTTTGACTTTCAAAATAAACTATGTAAAAAATGAAACTCAAAGCATGTCATTTGGAAAAAATCACTGAAGCACTTGAAATAACTTCACAGATTTCTTTCAAACAATAAAAAATACTAGTTTGGAAAAAAATTCATATATAGTGTATGTGAAACAACATTTTCAGAATAGCTGTCCTAAGTAAGAGTAACTATTTTCAAGGATCACTAAACAACTTCTATGTAAGTTCTAAATCATATTCTCATAGAAATGTACTATACAAAGAGATTTCCATCTACATAATTAAATGAACCACCAATGTTTTGCTATGTGCTAAAACCTCTTAAATAAAATTTATTCATAGCTTGCAAGAGAATAATTTTAAATTAAATGTAAAACTACTTACCTTTACTGGTTCTTGAGTTACTAATGGCTGGTTATCAATAGCCCCTGGTTTCTGAGGGTTAAGGTGCAACAAAATATTTCCATTGGCTCCCAGTAAACACTGGTTGTTATTGTCAGAAGTGTTATGTTGTCGAGCAAAGCAAACATCTGCCCCTGGTGTGGCAGAATACAGAAAGCCTATGAAGAAAAAGAGGATGAAATTTCTTATTTGTAATTAATATACACAAACAGGCTTGAGGATATGAGCTTAATGCCAATGTACTGTATTACTCTGTTGGCATGTCAGTACAGATTCAGATCCTGGTAATTCTGTAGAAGACAGGAATTATTATCCTTTTCTGGAAAATACATAGCATGGTACTAAAAATTAGAGCTTTTAAAATGATTACCATTTGGCCACCCTCCTAGAGTATGTAATAATTCATAATGAGAATTATATGTCCTCTGATTGGAAGGGAAGAGCTGGGCTAAGTAGCTGGGCTTTCACACAGTATCCTTTAATTATTTTCTTCAACCTAGAATATTCCAAATGCTCTTGGCAGATAATGGTGATATGAAGTCACTAAATTAAAGGGAATCTGAAACAAGATCTCCAACAAGAGTGCTAGGGGCTAGATCCTATTGTACCTATGAACTAAGAGTTCTTTTGAAAGCAACATATGATCTTTACAATAGGAAAATATGCACAGGAAATGATTAACCATGGCTTAGAGTTGTGAACCTCAGCGGTATTTTAAGGTATTTCAACTCTCAACTACACGCTAATCTTTGGCAAACAGTCTAGCAGTCATAGCTTTGTAACCTTTTGCCTGTGTTATGCTCAGCCTTTGGGTGTCACAGCTTATACGGTAAGCACATACCAAACAGGATCTTTAGATGGAGTTAAGAAATAATCCTGGTGTTAAAGCTGATGATAGCACTTCTTGGACTGCTAAGTGATCTTTGTAATACCAGAAAGGGAAGAAAGCAGCAGATTCTATCAAGGAGCTTTGTAAAGAAAATGCTAGCTCTGTCCTATTTGCTTACAACTTCCACAGAAAAGGAAAAGAACATGTTGGAAGAAATAATAACACAGGCCAGGTGCAGTGGCTCATGCCTGTAATCTTAGCACTTTGGGGGGCCAAGGCTGGAGGACTACTTGAAGCCAAAAGATTGCAACCAGCATGGGCAACATGAGATCTTGTCTCTACAAAACAATTAAAAAATTACTCGTGTGTGGCAGTGTACACCTGTAGTCCTAGCTACTATGTAGGCTAAGGCAGGAGGATTGTTTGAACCCAGTAACTGGAGGTTACAGTGAGCTATAATTGTGCCATTGCACTACAGCCTGGGCAACAGAGCAACACCCTGTCTCTTTAAATAAATAAATAACAGGGTAAGACTGAGAGTTCTGCTACTGTATCAGAATAATACCAATCAACTCAATTCAGCTGTGCCACAGAAATACCATAGCATCTTCCCTATAGGTGTGGAAACGTTAAGTTTTAGGTAAGTACCAACACCTAAAGGGAATTATGGAAGGCATCTGAATTCTTAGTATTTTAACAAAATAACTTCCAAATTTTGGGCTGAAATATATATAGAATCTGATGTGAGGTGCATTTAATTTAATGGAGAGAGCCCTGGAGATGACTATCTTTGAAATTTTAAATTTACTGACTAAATAATTTAATAGCAATATGGAAAGATGTGGCTTCATCAATGAAAACAGTGAAAACCGCTGGGTGTGATGGCTCGTGCCTGTAATCCCAGCACTTTACAAGGCTGAGGCCGAAGGGTCTCTTGAGCCGGGGAGTTTGAAACCAGTCTGGGTAACATGCAGAAACCCCATCTCTACAAAAACAAACAAAAAATTGGGCTGGGTGCAATGGCTCATGCCTGTAATCCCAGTACTTTGGGAGGCTGAGGTGGGCAGATCACAAGGTCAGAAGATCGAGACCATCCCGGCTAACATGGTGAAACCCCATCTCCACTAAAAATACAAAAAATTAGCCGGGCGTGGTGGCAGACACCTGTAGTCCCAGCTACTTGGGAGACTGAGGCAGGAGAATCACTTAAACCTGGGAGGCAGAGGTTGCAGTGAGCAGAAATTACGCCACTGCACTCCAGCCTGGGTGACAGAGCGAGACTCCATCTCAGAAAAAAAAAAAAAAGTTTGTATGTGGTGGCGTGTGCCTGTAGTCTCAGCTTCTTGGGAGGCTGAGGTGGGAGAACTGCTTGTGGCCGGGAGGCAGAGGCTGCAGTGAATCATGATTATGCCACTGTGCTCCAGCCTGGGTGACAGAGCGAGACCCTGTCTCAAAAGAAAATAGTAAAAATATTTTCATGTTGAGAGATTTAATGAAGTATAATATGGAAAAGAGGTTTTCTTCGTAAAACTACAAATGTATTCAAGAATTTTACATTCTTCTGACCATTTCATTCAAAACTTATTTCTGTTAATGGAAATCTGATCTCCTATTACCCCATTCGCTACAGCCTCTGTCAAATTAGACTCCCTTAAGAACTATCCATGGGGAACAAACCAATAAACCTCAGGGGAATAGGTCATATTGAGGAAGGAGACCTAAGAATTTAAGACCACCTCCCACTTGACTTCCACATTGCATTTCAATAGGAGAAGTAAAGGCTGGCAGACTGGGTGCCGCCTTAATCGCCCTCCTATAGATCACAGGCATGGTATGGAGGAATCTTTCTAGAAGGCATTGTTTTTACTTAAACAGGCTCAAATCCCCACCTAAGCCACATACCCCATGCCTACTCCATGGACCAAGACCCTTTCACATGTAATTTCTACAGTTGTAAGCCTTTATAAGGGCAGGGATTTTGTGTGTTTGGGGGCTCAGCTAACTGGGGCATCCAGACCTGCTGCAGCCCCTGGCCGTATAAATCACCACTTCCTTCTCAGTTAGGTGTTTGAGAGGTTTGCTTCTCCGCCTTTCCTGCTTTAATATTTACCGCTGCCAGCAGTTTCTGAGGCTTCAGATGCAGTAGAAATGTTGTCTGAAAACTTCTCTTCTGTAGAATTCACATAACTGAGGTTGCCTCCAATTCTATCTTCAACCTGCTCCATAGGATGTACTGCTGTTCCAAATGAATATTTTCCTCCGTTCAAAACAGATGATGGCTCAATTACCACAGGGTTGGCATCCTAAAATCAGAGAATAAGAAGCAAAGTTTAATAATCTGACAGCTATGCAGTCTTCAGAAACAAATCTCACAATTATCTATTTTTCTAATTCTCCTGTGGTTGGCCACATTTAACAACATTCTAACACATAGCTAAATTTTAATTTCTTTAAGAAGGAAAAGTATGTATATAGAAAAAATTGGTAAGGCAGACAGACCAGCATGTGAAGGATTTTGTGCCACATAAAGTAATTTAGACTTTATTTTGTTGGAAGCCTTTAATATTAAAAGTAAATAAAGTTTATTTTTTTTACCTTATTTCCCATACTATATGAATGTATATAATTTTTTTATTATTAAAGATTACATGGTCAATGTAGAAAATATAGAAAGCACAAAGAAAAAAAATCACATGTACTCAGATTCCAACATTTAACAATAACTGTGTTTTAGTTCTTGTGACTGAAGAAAAAAATTTATATGTAAAAGATGAGTGGTGTGTGTACCTAGTTAGAGTGAAGGGCAATGCTATGACTTATAGCTATGTGACCTTCTACAATAGCTAAACTTCTAAGCTTCAGTTTCTTCATGGGTAAAAGTTAGGGTAATACTAGGTAATATTAACCTTGTCAGGGACGATGAGTCTGAATGGTTAGAGAGGCAAAGAAAAATCAGGAAACTGTAAAGTCTTAGAAGCAGAAATCTCTAGCACAGAATTATTTTCCACTAAGTTTAACAGTGAAAAAAAAAAGAGAAGACAGACTTGAGGAGGAGGAGAAGGGAAGGTACCATGAGAATGTGTATCTGCCACTGTTTTCGAGAGAGAGATCTGCTACTGTATCAGAATAACAGCAATCAACTCAATTCAGCTGTGCCACAGAAATAGCACAGATAGCATCTTCCCTACAGTGTGGAAACATTAAGTTTTAGGTAAGTACCAACACCTAAAGGGAATTATGGGCGGCATCTGAATTCTTTCTCAGTATTTGAACAAAATAATCTCCAAATTTTGGGCTGAAGTATATGTAGAATCTGATGTAAGGTGCATTTAATTTAAAGAAAGTATGTTTATGGCTAGAGAGAGTCCTGGAGATGACTATCTTTGAAAATTTAACTGTGACTGACAGGGTAAAAAGACTAAAGGGATTAATGAGTGGAACAACATCCCACAGGCATCTGAGGGGACAGGTAATAGCACAGGTGGAAGAACTTAGTGCCATTCAATATAAACTCTGACTTGCTTTATTTTTTATTTTTTTGACTTGCTTTATAGTAGATAAAACTGATCAGTGAATGTGGGTCTTGAAGTCACAGCTTATAATGATGAACTGCAACATCAAATTTGAAAGAAAAACTCCATGTCATAGTATATCAACAGCAGAGCTGAGGTTTATTTTTTTAAAACAATTATAACAACCCTAATTTTAGCCAACAAAGGGAGACAGTGATCAACATTTTATTAGTTCTTTTCTCTTTTATCTGTAAACCAGGTGAATACTACCAATCTGTGGATCCTTTAGAAGTCAACTCTGAAGAATTCCAGTGCCTTTAAAACGCACTCTTAACTCTTAAGAGTGTCAAGAAGAACTAGAATAAAATATTAGTTCTTTCCACATACGAATTAACTTTAAATGGATTAAAAATTTTAAATAGCAATACAGTCTTACTGTCAAAACTAAACAATTCAGAAGTATAAATATTCATATTCTGTTACAGATCTAAATGTAAGAATATTTTCTTAATGTAAGGGGAAAGTACAATAGAAAAGTTATTCCCTATTCAATTCTCTTTCAATCCTCTCATTACTTCAAGGGTCCCAGTTTGGTGCTAATATGCTAATCTAACATTTGATAATTTGTTTTTAACAAAGAACAGTCCTAAATAGCAGTCTTCAAAAGGCGACACTATTAGCTGGAATTTAATATTATTGCCTTCTATTTCTGGCAAGTGACACTAGTTTTATTTTATTTTTATTTATTTTTTCTTTCCTTTTTTAATTTTAATTTTTATTTTTTTGAGTCTCACTCTGTCACCCAGGCTAGAGTTGCTCACTGCAACCTCCACCTCCCAGGTTCAAGTGATTCTCCTATCTCAACCTCCCAAGTCGCTGGAATTACAGGCACGTGCCACCATGCCCGGATAATTGTATTTTTAGTAGAGACAGGGTTTCACCATATCGGCCAAGCTGGTCTGGATCACCTGAGATCCGCCTCCTCGATTGGCCTCCCAAAGTGCTGGGATTACAGGTGTGAGCCACTGCGCCCAGCTTTTTTTTTTTTTTTTGGAGACAGGGTCTCGCTACCAGGTTAGTCTTGAACTCCTCGTCTCAAGCAATACTTCTGCCTGGACCCCTGCCAAATTGCTAGGATTATAAATGTAAGCAACCATGCCCAGCTGACAACAGTTTTCTACTTAAAGTAGTGATATAAAGCTTCCTTTGAAAATATGTTTAAACAGCCGGGTATGGTGGTTCACACCTGTAATCCCAGCACTTTGGGAGGCCGAGGCAGGTAGATCATGAGGTCAGGAGGTCGAGACCATCTTGGCCAACCTGGTGAAACCCCATCTCTACTGAAAATACAAAAACTAGCTGGGTATGGTGGCATGTGCCTGTAATCCCAGCTACTTGGGAGGGGAGGCACGAGAATCACTTGAACCCAGGAGGCGGAGGTTGCAGTGAGCCGAGATGGCACACCTGGCAACACAGCGAGACTCTGTCTCAAAAAAGAAAAAGAAAAGAACATATGTTTAAACAGCTAATTAATCACAACCAGTTTCAGATTTCTTTGTTCCTTGTCCATTACCACTGCTTCACTTGACTAGCCAAAAAAAATTTTTAAGTAAGAAATGGCAAAATTATTTATATAAGTTAATTATATGGCATTATATGAGAAAAATGGTGACCATAGTAAAAAAAAAAAAAAAAAGATGATTATGAACTAGGAATCTATATTACATATGAATTTTGTACTCCAGCCTGGCAACATAGCAAGATTCTGTCTAAGAAAAAAAAAAAAGGACAGTAGGGGGGATTTTGACATGCTCATGTGAGATTTGGGTCTCTTCCTAAGTCAGTGCTCACCAAGCAGAAAGCCATGTTCAGTTCGAGCACCAAGATTGTGAAGCCCAATGACGAGAAGCCAGAAGAGTTCAAGTCCAGCATCTCCCAGGCTCTTCTGGAGCTGGAGATGAACTTGGACCCCAACGCTCAGGTCAGGGGAGCTGCATATTACGGCAGCCAAGGAAATTGAAATTGGTGGTGGTCAGAAAGCTATCATAATCTCTGTTCCCATTCCTCAACTGAAATCTTTCCAGAAAATCCAAGTCTGGCTAGTATGTGAATTGGACAAAAAGTTCAGTGGGAAGCATGTTGTCTTTATCGCTTAGAGGAGAATTCTGCCTAAGCCAACTTGGAAAAGCCATAAAAAAAATAAGCAAAAGCGTCCCAGGAGCCGTACACTGACAGCTGTGCATGATACAATCCTTGAGGACTTGGTCTTCCCAAGCGAAATTGTGAGCAAGAGAATCCGTGTGAAACTGGATGGCAGGCAGCTCATAAAGGTTTATTTGGACAAAGCACAGCAGAACAACGTGAAATACAAGGTTGAAACTTTTTCTGGTGTCTATAATTTTTGTTTTTCTAAAAGTCAAAGGATCTTGTTTTGTTTTTATTAATTTAGGGGTCTGGAACTATCTGAAATTATCCTAGAATCCTGGTTTTCAGAAAATAGATTTCTAAATAGGTAAAGTTTCGCCTGTAGTGAGAAATTTCCTCACTTTCTCTGAGTCAACAATTCACAAAAGGATGAAATATTTTAATATAAGATAATTCATTTTGAGATTTTATTATTCCCAGTGAGTTGTATGAATAGTTTATGTTCTAAAATATGGGTCAAGATTCACCTTTTTCTCTATTGATAAAACCACTACTTTTTATGCCCCGTACATAGGTATGCTACAAGCATCAATGATCTTAAACAATTACGTAATTCATATTTCAGTAGTCTGAAATCCTGGTTTTGGAAAAATAGATGGCAGCATGAGGTAACGGATTAGGCACAAAGGACTCAGGATACTGAGCTCTGGAGTGCTAGATCAGGTAATAAAATAATTGTCTAATACAGCCTTGGGGAATTATAAAAACTAAAGACCTCAGAGGCTTCATTTGTAAATTCAGAGAAGAGAGGTGTTTCATTCCTTTTATTTCCCCCTCAACTACACATGTCTGAGGCAGGAAAACAAGGCTGCCCTACTAGTGGCAGTCTTGACTACAATCCTCGAGGGCTGCTCTTGGCCTCCAGCCTTGGCTGAAGAGAACATAGAACCCCCACAGCCCATGGGAGAGAGGCACGAGAGGTGCTTTAAAGTACTTTCTAGCTCTAAAGTTACATGATAACTAAATAGGAATAATCTGTATATGAATAGTAATAGCTGCTCCTTCATAGTTCTCAAAAAGGAATAAAGATACACATTACGTACTACAATGATGATAAACAGAAAAGATTTCACCATTCTTCCCCATTTAATTTTTTATAGGAGATTGCACAAAGAAGAATAAAGCTTGACACATTAAAGTGGGGAAAGATTGGTAAGATTCCATGAGCAGAGATAAAATCAAATTATTCATGCTCCAGTGAATCAGCAAATCTGTGGGTTAGCTGTGGGGTTAGCCACTTCTAAGAAAGGATGGCTCATTTTTCCTGATCCCTTGGTCTCTGATCTTTCCATTTAGTCGTGCCAGTATTTGAAACATACTGCCCTCACAATTAGTAATTCATATAAGTAAATATGTCTTTTTATGAAGAGAAAACACTAAAGCTAAGTACTATATTAGGTAGGCAAATGAAGTTCCAAGTAAGATCAAATTATCTGACATGTCAACACTAATTTTCTTTTTTTTCTTTTGTGAGATGGGAGTCTTGCTCTGTCATCTAGGCTGCAGTGCAGTGGCACGATCTTGACTCACTGCAACCTCCACCTCTCCAGGTTTAAGCAATTCTCCTGCCTCAGCCTCCCAAGTAGCTGGAACTGCAGGTGCGCACCACCACACCCGACTAATTTTTGTATTTTTAGTATAGATGGGGCTTCAGGATGTTGGCCAGGCTGCTCTGGAATTCCAGGTCTCAAGTGATCTGCCTGCCTCAGCCTCCCAAAGAGCTGGGATTATAGGTGTGAGCCACTGCACCTACCCTAATTTTTAAATTTTTTTAAACAAGGCATTTGTCAAAGCTGCCACATGGACTGGAAAGAGAAATTTGAAGTTTCTTTTCTATTTTTTTTTTTTTTTTTTTTTTTTTTTTTTTTTTTTTTTTTTTTTTTTTTTTTTTTTTTTTTGAGACAGAGTCTTGTTCTGTCACCAGGCTGGAGTGCAGTGGTATGATCTTGGCTCACCGCAACCTCTGCCTCCCAGGTTCAAGCTATTCTTGTGCCTCAGCCTCCTGAGTAGCTAGGATTACAGGCATGTACCACCACACCCGGCTAATTTTTGTATTTTTAGTAGAGACGGGGTTTCTCCATGTTGGTCAGATTGGTGTTGAACTCCCAGCCTCAAGTGATCTGCCTGCCTTGGCCTCCCCAAAGTGCTGGGATAATAGGCATGAGCCACCACACCCAGCCTGAAAGGAGAAATTTAAATCATGAATTAATTACTACTGCTGCTAATACTAAAACTACTGCTACTACTATAACTACTGCTACTACTACCACCATTATTACCTTTAATCTTATATAGAGTTTCTGTCTGCCAGGCACTGAGCTAAGTGAATTAACTCATTTAATTCTCACATCCGTAATTAAAAAGGTATTACTATTAATTTCATTGTTCATATGTAAAAACTGAGGAAGAGAAAGTAGTAGTAATTTATGCATAGTCATAAAGCAAGTGGAAGGGACAAGAGTCCAAGCTCACTACAATTACCTTATTCAAGTTTCTCATAATAATAGCTACCTATTTAGTACTTATTATGTACCAGACACTGTTTTAAAATACTTAACAAGGAGCTGGTTGTAGTGGTTCATGCCTGTAATCCTAGTGCTTTGAGAGGCCAAGGCAGTAGGACTGCTTGAGCCCAGGAGTTTGAGACCAGCCTGGCAAGCATAGTGAGACCCCATCTCTACAGAAAAATCAAAAAATTAGCCAGGTATGATAGTGTGTGCCTGTAGTCTCAGCTACTCAGGAGGTAGAAGAATCACCTGAGGCTGTAGCAAGCTATGATTATGCCACTACACTAGAACCTTGGCAACAAAGGAAGATCCTGTCTCAACAAACAAACCAACAAACAACAACAAAAACAACGAAACACTTAACATGCATCAAACTCATTTAATCCTCATAACACCATGAGGGAGATGATAATTATTACTCTAATTTTACAAATGGAAGAAACAAGGCCCAGAATGTCACTTTTTAAAAAAGGTTATTCGAGGCTGGGCATGGTAGTTCACATCTGTAATCCCAGCACTTTGGGAGGCTAAGGCAGGCAGATCATGAGGTCAGGAGATTGAGACCATCCTGGCTGTGGTGAAACCCCATCTCTACTAAAATACAAAAAATTAGCTGGGTGTGGTGGCACGTGTCTGTACTCAGGAGGCGGAGGCAGGGGAATCACTTGAACCTGGGAGATGGAGGTTGCAATGAGCTGAGATCATGCCACTGCACTCCGGCCTGGTGACAGAGCAAGACTCGTCTTAAAAAAAAAAAAAAAAAAAGCTTATTTGAATTTACTTTAAAAACATTTTTAAAAAATCTGTCAGTGTGGCTGGGCGCAGTGGCTCAAGGCTGTAATCCCAGCACTTTGGGTGGCTGAGGCAGGCGGATCACAAGGTCAAGAGATGGAGACCATCCTGGCCAACATGGTGAAATCCCATCTCTACTAAAAATACGAAAATTAGCTGGGCATAGTGGTATGCACCTGAAGTCCCAGCTACTTGGGAGGCTGAGGCAGGAGAATTGCTTGAACCCCGGTGGCAGAGGTTGCAGTGAGCCGAGATTGTGCCAGTGCACTCCTGCCTGGCACCTGGTGACAGAATGAAACTCTGTCCCCCCCCCCACCAAAAAAAAATCTGTCAGTATGTAGTTATTTGCATTTAAAAGAAAGTTACTTTTTATTTAGTAAAGAACACTTTTCTAATTAAGACATGTTCAGAGGATTGTTATTAGTCAACTTTCTCCCACCTTATTAATAAGTTGCCATAGTTCTCTTTTTAGTAAAAAACACTTTTCTAATTAATACATAGTTTTAGAAAGTACTGCTGTTACTCCATTTACATTTTTTCCCCATCTTATTGAATAAATTCCCACAGTTCTCTGCCTCCTTTCTCTTCATATAAAGCGATACTTGTCTCTTCCCTGGTTTCTTTTTTTTTTTTTTTTTTGAGACGGAGTTTCGCTCTTGTTACCCAGGCTGGAGTGCAATGGCGCGATCTCGGCTCACCGCAACCTCTGCCTCCTGGGTTCAGGCAATTCTCCTGCCTCAGCCTCCTGAGTAGCTGGGATTACAGGCACGCGCCACCATGCCCAGCTAATTTTTTGTAGTTTTAGTAGAGACGGGGTTTCACCATGTTGACCAGGATGGTCTCGATCTCTTGACCTCGTGATCCACCCGCCTCGGCCTCCCAAAGTGCTGGGATTACAGGCTTGAGCCACCGCGCCCGGCCTCTTCCCTGGTTTCTTATAACTCTCAGCTAGTCTTTATTTATTCATTTATTTTATGAAACAGGCTCTTGCTCTGTCACCCAAACTCAAGTTTAGTGGTGCGATCATGGCTCACTGCAGCCTTGACCTCTCAGGCTCAAGCAATCCTCCCACCTCAGCCTCCCAAGTAGCTGGGACTACAGACATACATTACCAAGCCTGATTAATTTTAAAGACATTTTTTTGTAGAGATGGAGTCTCACTATGTTGCCCAGGCTGGTCTTGAATTCTTAGGCTCAAGTGATCCCCCTACTTGGGCCTTTCAAAGTCCTGAGATTACAGGCATAGCCAGACTTCATTCTTAACTAGACTTGACACACGCATGCTAGAAAATAATATCAAATGCCAGAGTGGAGAAGGGAACAGGTAGATTCTCCCATGTATACCTCTCCCTTACTACCCTCCCCAAATTCCTTTAGTGCACAAAAGGGTTATGGTAGGCAACAACAAACCAGGTTCATGCTGTTTGTATGGGACACGCTGCTAAGAGTAAGACCTCTATTGTGTTCCTACAGAAAACAAAACGTAATATATACAAGACAAAACTAGGTTATTCTCTGAGTCTATACTCATTAAAACATTAACAACCACTCATTCTACGGCCAAACTACAAATTTAAAAACCAAAAAAGTATTTCAAAATAATGGCTGATGCTGTATCCCAATGTTCTCATTTTCTACCTACACTCACCATCACTATCTACCTACAAGGTCCAGGAAGTCATTTGCCTACTTTTATTCCTTCAGAGACACCAAAGTCCATGCTTCCCAATTAATATATTTTACATGTGAAAACCCATTAATAAACTCTGCAAAATGGGAAAAGGATGAGAAAGAATGATGAGACAGATAATGTAAAAAGTATCTAACTACCAATATTCTGATAATAGGCAGTGACAGAAGAAATACAGGCAAATAGGAATCAAATGATTAGAATTTTGGTTAGTGATCATTTGGCAATGACAATGAGTATATGTATCAACTGGCTTTCCAAAAAGGCAGCTGATTCTTGGCATTATTCTTTTCAGTTTTCTAGTCTGAAAAAAATTCCATTTTAATGGGAAAGATGAAATAAAGGACAATGTAAATGATGTAGTTGAGAGAACATAAGCTTGTAAAGTTGGTCCCTAGGTTTGATCCCAGACCTTCTACCCTGATCACAATATTCAGGTTATTTTTCTTTCAGCACCAGGTTCCCCACAGGTAAAATGGGTATAATATTATCCTCCTTACAAGGGTGGTGCGAGAATTAAATGAGATGTGAAGTGTGTCATATATACAGGTACCCCGTGCCCAATATTATCTTTTTCATAGGGCTGTTGCAAGGGAAGAAATTTACATGAAGTGTAATCACAAAGCCTAGCCCATAGCAAGTATTATATAAACACTCATTTCCTTTCCCTTTGAATCTTTATCTAAGTCAGAGCATTTTATTATTGGCTGGTAGTCACATGAAGTCTGATGGAGTTGAAAATCCTGTGAAAAATGTAAACAGACAGAAATCTAACTCACGTATTTGACATATTCTTTCCACTGTTGCCACCACTGCATAGAGATGATAAACCAGTTGTGTCCTGGTTGCAGACCATACCTGCTCTCTCGTTCTAACCATCCTCTGTACATACAAAAGAAATTCAATACATCAACTAAAGTTGTGTGAAACAGGTGGAAACACACATACATTATCACTAGAAGTTTTATACAAAAAACCATGAAACATTTAGATGTAATTACAAGAGACTGCCAAAATTCAATTAGTAAAACAATACTGTTTCTATTGATAAACCAATTTCAAGAGTCATAGACCAGTATCAAGAACAATTACATCAGGAAAGGATTCTAGGAAAAAATTAAAAATTTTAAAAACTAGAAAAAGAACAACTGTTGTTTCTAATTAATTAATTACTTTTTGTAGCATGTTCATGTAACCAATGATGTTCTTTAAAACAGCTTTATTGAGGAATAATTTACATAAATATAAAACTTACCTATTTTAAGTGTACAACTCAGTGATTTGGTAACTTTACAGATGTGTGCAACCAACACTACAATCAGTTTGAGAACATTCAGAACATTTCAGTTAATCCAAAAAGACCCCTGTACCATTTTTAGTCAATTCCTGTTACCACCCTCAGCAATAGGAAACCATTAATCTATGTTTTCTCTCTTACAGATTTGTCTTTTCTCAACTATTCATATAAATAAAATGATAAAACACATGGCCTTTAAAAATTTGGTCCCTTTGACTTTCCATGTTTTTGTGGTTCATCTATTATTGTGGCAGATATCAGTTGTTTGTGCTTTATTACTGAATAGTATTCCATTGTATGTGTATATTACATTTTGTTTATCCATCCAACACCTAAAGAACATTTGAAACTGGCAAGTCAATTTCCAAAGTGGCTGTACATTTAACATTCCCATCAGCAATTCTAGTGGGTGTGAAGCACTGTTACACTGTGATTAAAAAAAAATCCTATCTATCTATCTATCTATCTATCTATCTATCTATCTATCTATCTATCTAATCTATTGACAGGGTCTCTGTCTACCTACCTACCTACCTACCTACCTACCTACCTACCTACCTACCTACCTACCTACAGAATCTTGCTCTGTAGCCCAGGCTGGAGTACAGTGGTGCAATCTCAGCTCACTGCAGCCTTGACCTCCTGGACTTAAGCAATCCTCCCGCCTTAGCCTCTCAAGTATCTGGGACTACTGGTATGTGCTGCTGTGCCTGGCTAATTTTTTTTTTTTTAAATAGAGACAAGGTCTCACTATGTCACCCAGGCTGGTCCTGAACTCCCAAAGTGTTGGGATTATAGATGTAAGCCACTGTGCCCAACCAAAAACTATTTATTTTTGATATGAAAAGGGGATAACATGAAATTATTTTAAATCATACAGTTCAGTGGCATTTAGTACATCCAAAATGCTGTGCGACCACCTTTTATTAAGTTTCAAAACATTTTCATATGTGGCAATTAAAAAGTCATCCATTAGTTACCATTACCCACTTCCCCCAGACCTTAACAACTACCAGTCTGCTGTCTGGACCTACTGATTTGCCTATCCTGGATATTTTATGTAAATGGAATAATTCAACATATGACCTTTTATGTCTGGCTTCCTTCGCTTAGCATGTTTGTGAGGTCCAACCATGTTGTAGTGTGTATCAGTACTTTATTCCTTTTTATGGCTGAATAAAATTCCACGGTGTGTATATACTACATCTTGTTTAACCAATCATCCACTGATGTACAGACTGTTTCCACCTTTTGGCTATTGTGAATAGTGGTACTATGAACACTGTGTTCAAGTATTTGAGTACCCGTTTTCAATTATTTTGGTATATACCTAGAAATGGAATTGCTGGTACATGGAAATTCTTGCCAAGGAACTGCCAACTGTTTTCCACCATGGATGCACCATTTTACATTTCTACCAGCACTATATGAGAGTCCTTAATTTCCCCACTCACCAAAACCTTCCATTTAAAAATTCTAATAATCTTACTAAGAAGTAGAATTTCATTGTTTTGACTTGCAATTCTCTGGTAACTAATTATGTTGAGCATCTTTTTCATGTGCTTGATGATCACTGAATGTCTCTGGAGAAACATGTATTTGAGTCAATTTTTAGTTGTCTATTTTTAAATTGAATTGTGTTTTTTGTTGTTAAGCTGTAGGAGTTCTTTTTTTTTTTTTTTTTTTTTTTTTGAGACAGAGTCTTGCTCTGTTGCCACGCGCCAGGTTGCAGTGCAGTGGCACAAGCTCAGCTCACTGCAACTTCCACCTCCCGGGTTCAAGCAGTGCTTCTACCTCAGCCTCCCAAGTGGCTAGGACTACAGGCAAGTGCCACTATGCCCAGCTAATTTATTTTTTATTTTTTTAGTAGAGACGGGGTTTCACCATGTTGGCCAAGATGGTCTTGATCTCTTGACCTCGTGATCCACCCGCCTCAGCCTCCCAAAGTGCTGGGATTATAGGCGTGAGCCACTGTGCCTGGCCAGGAGTTCTTTATGTATTCTAGTTAGTAGACTCATCAGATGTATATTTCAAACATATTATCTCCCACTCCATAGGTTGTCTTTTCAGTTTTAAAAATAATATCCCTTGATGTATAAAAGTTTTAAGTTTTGCCAGGTGAAGCAGCTCATAGCTATAATCTCAGCACTTTGAGAGGCTGACGTAGGAGAATTGCTTGAGCCCAGGAGTTCAAGAGCAGCCTGGGCAACATGGCAAACCCCCATCTCTACAGAAAATACAAAAATTAGCTGGGTGTGGCTGGGCGCAGTGGCTTACATCTGTAATCCCAGCACTTTGGGAGGCCAAGGTGTGTGGATCACCTGAAGTCAGGAGTTCAAGACCAGCCTGACCAACACTGTGAAACCCTGTCTCTTTTTTTTTTGAGATGGAGTCTTGCTTTGTCACCCAGGCTGGAGTGCAGTGGCACAGTCTCAGCTCACTGCAACCTCTGCCTCCTGGGTTCAAGCAATTCTCCTGTCTCAGCCTCCCGAGTAGCTGGGACTACAGGCACTCGCCACCAAGGCTAATTTTTTTTTTTTTAAGTAGAGACAGGGTTTCACGAGGTCTGCCTGCCTTGGCCTCCCAAAGTGCTGAGATTACAGGTAGGAGCCACCATGCCTGGCTGTGAAACCCTGTCTCTAAAAAAATACAAAAATGAGTCAGGTGTGGTGGTGGGTGCCTGTAATCCCAGCTACTCAGGAGGCTGAGGCAGAAGAATTGCTTGAACCTGGGAGGCGGAGGTTGCAGTGAGCCGAGATCATGCCATTGCACTCCAGCTTGGGAAACAACAGTGAAACTCCATCTCAAAAAATTTAAAAAATAAAAATCAGCTGGGTGTGGTGGTGCACATCTGTGGTCCCAGCTATTCAGGAAGCTGAGGTGGGAGGATCATCTGAGCCCAGGAGTTTGAGGTTGCAGTGAGCTGTGATGGTGCCACTGCACTCCAGCCTGTGTGACAGAGTGAGATTGTCTCAAAAAACAAAAACAAAACAACAAAAAACTTTCATATTTTTATGAAATGCAATATTTTTTCTTTGGTTGCTCATGCTTTTGGTGTTACAACTAACATTCCATTGCAAAATTCAAATAATCTTTGAGGGAATAGTTTTGTTAGATATAGTGTTATTGGTTACAGTTTCCCCCCACTTTCAGCTCTTTAAAAAAATTATCCAACTCAATTCTGGGTTCCATGCTTTCTGATGATAAACATGCTATTAATTTTATTGATGATCCATTGTATGGGGCAAGTAGCTTCTCTTTTGCTTTCAAGATTCTCTCTTTGTTCTTGGCTTTGTAAAATACAGTTTCATTATAACGCTTCTCAGTGTGGATAACTTTATCTTTCTTGAAGTCCAGTGAGCCTTCTGAACGTGTAGTTCATGTCTTATGAAATTTAGAAAGTTTTTGACAATTATTTCTTCAAATATTCTGCCCCTTTCTTTCTCTGCTTTCCTAAGATTCTTATGTTAACAGACATGATGTTCTATTCATTTTTCCTCATTCTGTTTTCTTTCTGCATCTCAGTCAGCAATTTCAACTAACTTTTTTTTTTTTTTTAAACACATCTTATTTTATTCAGATAGCAGTCTGATCACACATGGTCCAACAACACTCAGATAATAAATCAAATACAACCAGATGTTAAAGATTGGTCTTCAAACATCACAGCCAATGGTGCCATGCTTGCCTATGATCTCTCCGACATAAAACCACATCAACACCTCAGTGGCGACCAAACTATTCAGCATAGCTTCCTTAACTGTGAGTTGTTTGAAGCTACCAGTCTAAGCACTATTGACGATTTCTTTCAGGCTCTGAATAGCTCTAGGGATCTCAGCAGGTGTGGGAGGAATCAGCTCAACCTTGGTGTAGCACCAAAATGTGGCTAACTTCGAATAAGTCACAGCAGCATTCACCAGCGCCGGGGTCTTCTCCACAAGGTTATGGATAAATTGGGCCATGGTTCTGGGATGGAAAGTCTGTCGCCCTGAACGGCTGGCTGAATGTCCTCAACTGACTTTCATTTAAGTTCCCTGATTCATTCTTCTGCCTACTCAAATCTGATGGAAAACCCCTCTAATAGATTTTTCATTTCAGTTATTGTACTTTTCAGCTCCAAAATCTGTGTTTGGTTCCTTTTCATACTTTCTCTTTATTAGTACATTCTATTTGTGCCTACATCATTTTCCTGGTTTCCTTTATAATTTATTCATTTATTTTGAGATGGAGTCTCGCTCTGTCATCCAGGCTGGGGTGCAGTGGCACAATCTCAGATCGCTGCAACCTCCCCCTGTCGGGTTCAAGGGATTCTCCTGCCTCAGCCTTCCGAGTAGCTGGGATTATAGGTGCCTGCCATTGTGCCCGGCTAAGTTTTATATTATTTTTTAGTAGAGAAGGGGTTTCACCATGTTGACCAGGCTGGTCTCCAGCGATCTGCCTGCCTTGGCCTCCCAAAGTGTTGGGATTACTGCACCTGGCGTGAGCCACTGCACCTGGCTAATTCTCCTGGTTTCCTTTAGTTTGTTGTCCATCACTTCCATTAGCTCTTTGAAAATATTTAAGATAACTGATTTTAAATGTTTGT